ACAACGCCCGTCCATGTTTTGGTTGTAGTTATCATTGTTGTTTGGCAGTCCCAGGCTGGATTTGAACGCACCAGCTCTGGTGTATGTGACTGGCACCTCAGCCGCTTGAGCTACAGGCACCAAGCCAGGTGACACATTTCTTAAGCTGACTAAAGCCATCTATGACAAACCTACAACTAAGATCATATTGAATGGAGTAAAACTAAAAGATTTTTACAAAGAAGACTTCATTGGCAACTGCAACAAAAACAAAAATAAACTAAGGAGCCTTCGTTAAACTGAAAAGCTTCTGCACAGCTAAGACAACAATTAAAGCAAATACACAGCTTTCATGATGGGAAAAGATATTTGCATGTTACAAATCTGACAAAGAGTCAGATTAATCAACAAAAAAAGAACAAACAATCCCATCTTTACTGGGCAAGAAACAGGAATAGAACCTTCTCTGAGGCAGACAAATGGCCAAAAAGCATATGAAAAATCATTGTCCCTAATCATCAGAGAAATGTAAATCAAAACCACTTTGAGATAGCACCTAACCCCAGTGAGAATAGCCCACATCACAAAGTCCCAATGTTGCAAATGCTGGCATGGATGTGGGGAAAAGGGAACACTTTTACAGTAGTAGTGGAACTGAAAACTAATACAGCCTCTAAGGAAAGAATTAAGGAGAACTCTCAAAGAACTCAAATCAGACCTTCCACTTGGTCCTGCAATCCCATTACTAGGCATCCACCCAGAAGAAAACAAATCATTTTATCATAAGGACATTTGCACTAGATTGTTCACTGCACCTCAATTTACAATCAATGTGGAAAGAATCTAAATGCCCATCAACTCAGGAATGGATTAATAAACTGTGGTTATGTATACCATGGAATACTATTCAGCCGTAAGAAAAGATGGAGACTTTACATCTTTTATATTAACCTGGATGGAGTTCAAACACATTCTTCTCAGTAAAGTATCACAAGAATGGGAAAGCATGTATCCAATGTATTCAGTACTAAATATGATGCCAGTAGACGATATAATACCCAAACACAAGAGAAAAACTTGATTCAATTCAAGTTGGGGGGAGGGGGAAGAGGGAAGGAGAGAGGGGCATTGGCAAACACAATGTGGAGGTATATGGCCCACCTCCTGGGTATGGGACACACTATAACAGGGATTCTGCCTAACAAATGCAAACATTATAGCCTAATTGTTTGTCCCCTTACATTACCATGAAATAAACAATAGAATGAATTAATGAATGTTCCAACACTGTAATGGAATGGCATACAGAAATATAAATGAATAAGAAAAAATAAAATATATACAATGACTACTGACAAAATAATAGTTTTATCTTAACATTGTAAAAATGTTCAAAAGATTCTAAATTTTAAGAATTTTAAATCACACATACACTAAAGTACATGACCAACTAGAGTGTGTCTCTCACCCGCTCTCTTTCATATCCAAGTCATCAAACATCTGAATTAGAGAGACGGCAACTTCATATATATCCTTAGTTATCACCGGTTCCTCCAGGAGATGAGGAGAGAGCTAAAAATGGTAAAGGGAAAAAGTCACAATGGTGAAAGAGGACCACAGAGGAAATGCTGGGGTTGGACGGGTGACTGCCTCCTTCAGTATATGACTGTAACAAAGCACCCAAATAAAAATGAAAAATTTGCATTTGCAGCCAATATTTGAGAACTTGATGTGTGTCAGGCCTAGGATACATGACAAAGACAATACCATTTTCTTTTTTTTTTTAATTAAATCATAACTCTGTACATTAATGCACTTATGGGGTATAATGTGCTGATTTGATATACAATGTGTAAAGCTTATATCAAACTTGTTAACATAACCATCACCTCACTTATTTATTTGTTATGGTAAGACATTTATACTCTGCTCTTAATAGTTTTAAAATGTACCACTGCATTATGCACATTAGGTGAGGTCCCACCAAATATCCTACCTCCTCCCGGCCTCCCCACTTTCCTTCCCTTCCCTCTCCCTCTCTTCCCTCCTTCTTTCTGGACTATAGTTTTATCATTCGTATGAATGTGTAGGTGATTATGTATTGGTTTCATAACAGTATTGAGTACATTGGATACTTTTTCTTCCATTCTTGAGATACTTTAGTAAGAAGAATATGTCCCAGCACCCTCCAGGTAAACATAAAAGATATAAAGTCTCCCATCTTTTTATGGCTACAGAGTACTCCATAGTATACCTATACCACAATCTGTTAATCCATTTGTGGGTCGATGAGAACTTGGGCTGTTTCCATTACTTGGCAATTATGAATTGGCCTTTTAGCTGTAGGTGATGAATGCAAAGTAATCAAATGCAAAGTATGTTTCCTGTAAAAGCACCATGGATTCCCACATACCCTGCAGTGGTGGATGTGCCCCAGATCCTCCAGGTAGTGCTCCTCGATGGAGTGGGGTTTGCCCTCCACCTCGAACACATATGCAGGGTTCATCTTGTTCTGCACAGGGACAGCAAAGTAGTCCGCAAACTCCTTACAGTTGATGGTGGCCGACATGAGGACAACCTGCAGAGCAAGAGGAAACCAGTGAATGAAACAACAAGAACTGAGATGCTTTCAAAATGCCAGGCTTTCTGCTTCATTCCTGTAGCTAATGACTTTTCAGATTTTAAATAGAATACTTTGATATAAACCCTAGTGTAATATGAATTGTTGTCATTTAAAGAATGCTTAAGAGACATGAACTTACTATTTCTCTCCAACTATTTTACCAAATGAGAAATTACATAATCCATTAAGGCTAACTTGTAACCATTTTTTGGAAAGAAAATTTTGCATCAGAAAACTACTTTTTAAAAAAAGTAAGTTACTTGATGTGTTTTATAAAAACGAGAGAGTAAACCAGCAAAGAGGAAGACAAGGAGTCCAGAGAACCTCGGCTCTGACACCAGACAGTAAACCAGCAAAGAAGAAGATGAAGAACTCAGAGAACCTCAGCTCCAACCAAGTAGTTGGAGAAGTCTCTGGGTGGAGAAAACCAAGCCCAGACAGAGTTAGAAGCTGCCTGAGCTTTCAGTTGTCACAAAGCCAGGGTGTGATCATCTCATGACACTCAGCCTTGAATGGCAGGCGCAGTGTCCATAGTACGTTGGTCGTGCCCGCAGAAAGTGACAGCACCACAGAGGACCCACACACCATGCCTCCACAGCACCTGGCAGGGCTAAGCACAGTTCTGTGGTCTGCACAGACTTCCTACTATATGGCAGTTAGACTTTTGTAAGTACAAACCGTCCACAGGGAATGTCTTTATCTTTCCCTTTGGTGTTAGATACGAATGGTAAAAACTGTACTAACCAATAGTCACCCTGAGAAGAGAGGTCTGAGTGTGGAAGGAGTACCCTGGAGGAGGAAGAATGGACACACCCAGGCCCAGCAGATGGCCTCAAATGCCTTAAGGACAGTGATAATTACTGGATTCCAAAGTCTCAGTAACTGCAGAGCTATGGGTAAGCCGAGTGCAGTGCTAATTGCTAGAGGCTTGCAAGGAGACTCAGCACAGCACAGCTCAGCTCTCCTCACCTGCCCTCCCGTGCAGCCCTCCCCTGTCCAGACAGGTAAGGGAGCAGCCTGCCCAAGATGCCCACTTGTCCAGGGTGGGATTGAGCTGAGTCTGGTCAGACAGACATGACAGTAGGGTGGCTGGAGGATGGCACAGAGTAGGGACTGAGGGAAAAACACATCAGGGAGCTCAAAGGGACCTCTAATGGTTTGGGGGGAGAAGAGCACAGGCCCTTAGAGCCCAGTCGTCCACACTCTTGCATCTAAGTCCTGTGACAGCAGCAGTCTTAAGAAGGTGATAAATAAGGATTTTTTGAGAATTTTTTAAAAAGCTTTTATAAAACAATCTAGAGCATGATTTCTAGTGGCCCAACTACATGTACCATATAAGACTCTATATTTAGAAAATATGCTATGGTACATCATTTCTAATAAATCATGAACATACTGACTTCTAGTACTTCTTACTACTTACAAGATACAAGCACCAAAGTCCTTGCTACCATTTTCTGCAGCCTGGTAGATTTTTTTTCAATCCATTAACATTCTTAACTCTCTTTACAAAACTAAAAAATATATAATCATGCCATTACCTTGACTTGACTAGTCTTAAAAACTGAAAGGTTTAAAATTAAAGTCTTTAAAAAAAAGTCTTACAGGGCTGGAGGTTTCAAACCCAGGCTGGGCCTGCTAAACAACAACAACAAAAACAAACAAAAAGCTGGTCACTGTGGCGGGCGCCTATAGTCCCAGCTACTAGGGAGGCTGAGGCAAAAGAACTGCTTGAGACCAAGAGTTGGAGGTTGTTGTGAACTATGATGCCACAACACCCTACTGAGGGTGACATAGTGAGACTCTGTCTCAAAAAAAAAAAAAAAAGCAATGCCTGTGGCTCAGTGGGTGGGGCACCAGCCCCCTATACCAAGGGTGGCAGGTTTAAACCTGGCCCCAGGCCAAACTGCAACAAAATAATAGCCAGATGTTGTGGCCAGCACCTGTAGTCCCAGCTATTTGGGAGGCTGACGCAAGAGAATCACCTAAGACTAGGAGTTGGAGGTTGCTGTGAGCTGTGATGCCATGGCACTCTGCCAAGGGTGATAAAATGAGATCTCTAAAAAAAAAAAGTCTTAAAATGAAATTTAAAGGCTCCCATTTGTTTTGTTTTTTTGAGACAGAGTTTCACTATGTCGCCCTCAGTAGTGTGCCATAGCATCACAGCTCATAGCAACCTCAAACTCTTGGGCGTAAGTGATTCTCTTGCCTCAGCCTCCCAAGCAGCTGGGACTACAGGCGCCCGCCACAATGCCCAGCTATTTTTTTGTTGCAGTTGTTTAGCTGGCTCGAGCTGGGTTCGAACACGTCACCCTTGGTGTATATGGCTGGTGCTGTAACCACTGCGCTATGGGCACCTAGCCAAGGCTCCATTTGCTAAACAGTCTTCCATACCATCTTTAAGATTCAGACAAAGGCTAGAAACAGCCAAGTCTCTCACTCCTTTCACAGTGGTCTCAAGCAGAAAGACAACCAACCGCCAACGTCAGGTTCATCCACTCAGCGCTGCAGGCGAGAATGGGCCCTTCTCAGGTAGAAGTTACCCTCACTTAGCAGTGCAGGAGGGTATTTCCCTAAACACTTGGCAAAACTTATGATTCTGAAACCAATTTTTTTTCAATAACAGCAAATCCTTTAGCAGTCCCATCATATAATAATGTGTGTATCTCAATCGTTGCCACCTTTTACAAAGCTATTTTCCAAAGACCTCTAAGGCTTAGCATAGCCAGGTAGAGGGCAGCCTTGCTTACACTTGTTTAGGCTGTGTAATTACTCCAAATCCTTTGATATTTTAGCCTAGTTCATGCCTTTCTCCTTTTTGTCCAAATAAGATGTGAATAATAGGGCTGGGAGTGGTGGCTCATGCCTATAATCCCAGCACTCTGGGATGCTGAGGTGGGTAGATTGCCTGAGCTCACGGGTTTGAGACCAGCCTGAGTAAGAACATGACCCTATCTCTAAAATATAGCCTGGCACTGTGATAGGTGCCTGTAGTCCCAGCTACTCGGGAGGCTGAGACAAGAAGATTGCTTGAGCCCAAGAGTTTGAGGTTGCTGTTTGCTATGACACCACAGCACTCTACTGAGGGCGACAAAACAAGACTCTGTCTCAAGGAAAAAAAAAAAGATGTAAATAATATTTACTGTTTTCATCAACCTTCAGTTAACCAAACTTATATTCTAACATAATGGTACACGTTCTGTTGTCAAATCTCACTGTGCTTTGGTGATATTTCTAACACAAGGATTGCAGACCTCTAAAGTGTAGTATACTCATCCAACCCAAAGCAAGGTTTCTATACCCAGCATTCACTACAGTGCACTATCATTAGATCGTTTTTTTGCAGCCTGGAAAAAATGTTACAATTTAAAGCAGCATGATAGCCAAAAAGCAGCAATACTCTGATCATAAAAGCAATCGCATTAGCCCGCTTCCTCGCAAGATGAGGTGTACTGCACACGATGATTTGTGAAGTCACTGGTTTCAAAAGTCTCTGTTAAGACAGAGGGACCCCCGTATCTGCAGGGTACACATTTGTGGATTCAACCAATGACAAATCAAAAATGTTTAGGAAAAACAATTTAAAATATAGGTTTTTAAAATACCACATAACTATTTACATTGTATTATAAGTAATCTAGAGATGATTTGAAGTGCACGGGAGGATGTGCCTAGATGATCTATATGCAAATACTGTATCACACCATCTTACATCAGGGCCTGAGCAACCTCAGACTTTGGTGTCTTCTATGGGTCCTGAAATTCCCCGCAGATACTGATGTACAACTGTAGAGAAAAAAAAACTAAATAATAAATCTTAACCCTAAATATTTCTGTTACTCATGAAATCAAATTTACCTTCACAAAACGAGAATTTGTTCTTAAAAGTTTGCGGACTACCAACAGCAGGAAATCCATTTCTTCAGTTCGCTCATGTACCTAGAAAATAAAAAGAGGCAGTGCCACATGGCATGAGGCACAGGTCCCTGTGGAGAGAGGGAGACTGGAGCTCAGTCAGCTCTCTGCTAACCACAGGTCTCAGGGGCCCAATGCTCCTGGGTAAACAAGCAAAGAGCATCGGCCTGTGGGTCACCACCACTCTGTGTTTCTCCTCAGAGCCCTCCCGACATCTGGGCAAAGTAACTTTCAGTAACATTCAGAACCCTTGGTCCTGCCTACCTAATACCACTCATGCCCAGGTCCCTGAGACAGCCAAACACACCCCCCTACCCACTCCCCAGCAAAGAGCCCAGATGGGCCTCCCTAGAGGCTTCTGCTGTGGTCCAAAGGCACACTGTCACGTGAGCCGTAAGTATAGGCTGGACACCTACCAGTCTAACACTGAGCTGGGAGCCACTGGACCTGAAAAAGCCAGCCCAGCCAAAATCAAGGAACGAGAACAAGGTCAGGATGTGAGATGACAGCACTGGCACAGGGTGGCACACTCCCCACAGCCCACCCCATCACCAGCCGGCCTCCTTCTCTGTTTTTTTTTTTTTTTTTTTGAGACAGAGCCTCAAGCCGTCCGCCTGGGTAGAGTGCCGTGGCATTACAGCTCACAGCAACCTCCAACTCCTGGGCTCCAACGAGTCTCCTGCCTCCGCCTCCCAAGTAGCTTGGACCACAGGCGCCCGCCACAATGCCCGGCTATTTTTTGGTTGCAGCCGTCATTGTTGTTTGGCAGGCCCGGGCTGGATTCGAACCCGCCACCTTAGGTGTATGTGGCTGGCACCTAACCACTTGAGCCACAGGCGCTGAGCCGGCCTGCTTTTCTAAAAGAACCCACGTACTCTGCAACTTAGGACAGCTCAACAAACACACAAGAGGACCATAGGCCCTGCCCTGGGACATTTCCGTGCCCACAGGAGGAACAGATATAAAGCTGGAAAGCAGGAGTTCTCTCCTCCGTGCAACAGGCCTGATGATTTATTCCACACCTAATGCTACATGAGGTCCTACCATCTTTCTGACTTCCTACTGTGGTAGATTCACAGGGAAAGTAGCATAGAGAAAAAGATTAAGAAATCAGCTGAAAATTACCTAACAATATTATAAATCTAATTCTTCTCTCATGCTTTTACCAACCTCTAGAACATTTCCTCAACAAAAACATCCTGTCTTTGACCGGAGAAAAGACAGACCAAGGCTGTCAGCTGTTAGACCCCACCACCTGCACTCAAGGCAGAAGCTCTCCTCTAGATCACACTCCCACCTTCTCTCTGGTTCTATCCACCAGCCCTTCCCACCCTCTGCCCCACCTCCAGGGTCCCCTCAGCCCTCCCCACAGCACAGAAATTGTCACACACCAGCTGGAATGTGTGTTGGGGAGCCTGGCTAAGAGAAGAGACTATGCCATGCTGTCTTTATAATGGCCACAGCAGAGCTCAAAAATTGTTTACTGAATGAATTATCTGCACAAAGCTAGTTTATTCTTTTTCAAGAGCTGAGAAGTTAAAAACACTATTCCATTTTAACCTACCTAGCCATTTTCAACTTTTGTTCTTTTATTTTTGAAATTCAGATCATCCCAGAGAATGTGAACAATACTATTTGTAAACTTAAAACTTCAGGTATATTCAATCTACTCATCAAGCAAATAATCATCAGAGCTTCTACTAGGTGCTGGTGACGCAGAAGTTGAGAAGGGATGCGTAAGTTCTCTGGATAACCCCCAACCCCGGCAGGGCAAGCTCTTGGCAGAGAGCAGCAAACATCTGCCCAGCTGTGACAGCACAGCCTTGGGAAGTGCTGTGCTGTTCTAGCAACACAGCAGGGATGGGCTCGCCCATGTCACTCAAGTACATATGTACACAGAGGGTGTCACATGGCTAGAAAGGGGCCAGGTGTGCGGAGAACAAATGAGTGTGTCAACACCGTGGTCTCTACAGCAGGGCAGCCAACCTGTCAGCTTCTCTATCTGAGACACATGCTAAACAAACACTAACAAAAACTGATAAGCCAAAAAAAAAAGGTCCATTCATAGTTGTGATGATATCTGCCACTACAGATAAAACTATCTTTACATGATAATCCTAATTATTCAGCAGCCTGTTCAGGGAGTCTTAAAACCATTAAGCAGGTCCTAAGTTTGTGATCACTAATAATGTACATATCTAAATAATAAACAACCTTTAGGGCTTTTTATATTCTTTATTACAAAAGTGGGCAAAAGAAAACCAGTGGGGTATGTAACCTTGTATCTGAGAAACTAAAGCCTCAGTATCTGGCTGGTTGAAGTAGTCGTAATTCTCAGTAAGCTCTCAAGGTGCTCATCAGATATTTTGGTTCTAACTTTACTCTTAATATGCTTCATTCTTAAAAACAGTTGCTCAAATCTAGGTGCTGCCAAAAAGCAATGACATGAATAAGGTGTGACTGTGAGCCAGGGGTATTTGTCTCTGGAAAGACAGGACACCTATGAAAGTCCAGTAAACTGACGTGATCAAACTTTTCTTTTTTTTTCTTTTTGAGACAGCACCTCAAGCTGTCCCCCTGGGTAGAGTACCGTGGCATCACAGCTCACAGCAACCTCCAACTCCTGGGCTGAAGCAAGTCTCCTGCCTCCACCTCCCAAGTAGCTGGGACCACAGGCGCCCGCCACAACGCCCGGCTATTTTTTGGTTGCAGCTGTCATCGTCGTTTGGTGGCCCAGGCTGGACTCAAACCTGTCACCTTAGGTGTACATGGCTGGCGCCCTAGCCACTTGAGCCACAGGCACCAAGCCTCAAATTTTTTCTTTATGTTGAATAAAGACTGCTGTCACACCGCAGTCTGTACATTCCATGTGAACATTGGCAAGTAATATATTTATGTCAATTGAAAATGAACTCACAAATGCACCGAAATATTATTTTCCCAGGAATCTTGAAAACTGCCTTCAAACTCTTGTATCAAATCAAAAAGGCTGGCTACATATTTTTCAGTTCACAAGACTATCTTTAGCAAACATGCAGAAATGCATACACATGACTTAATTTGAACATGCCACAATTTGTCTGATTTGGCATGCTGTTATGGTTTGAAACATTATATTGGTAAGTTGTCATCTTGAAGACCCATGTTTAACACATTTTTTTGAGTATTTTTATTTTTCCAAATTAGTATGAGGGTACAATTAGTATTTAGGTTACAGTGCTCTCACTTCCAGCGTAAGGTTTCTTTTGTAGAAGAGCCCCTCACCCAGGAGGCGTGTTATAATAATAAGACTCCCTGAACAGGCTGCTGCATAATTAGGATTATCATGTGAACACCCTCACTATGTGCACATTAGGTGAGATCCCACCTCTTGCCCTCCCTCCTTCTGCCAAACTTCCTTCTCTCTCCCCCCTCCCACTTCCCTGTGCCCCCAAACTTGACTGTATTAGTGTTTTATTGTTCTTATGAGCATGTAATTGTTTATATATTGATTTTATATTACTATGGAATACACTGGATATTTTTCCATTGTTGTGATACTTTACTAAGACCACGTTTAACTCATTTAAATCAATGGTCAAATCTACTGAAAATGCTAAATCTGAGTTTTTAATCATCAAGTTCTCATAGAAATTTGGTTTTTGATACCATAAACGACTTGATAACATGTCACAAATCATAAAATCTTTTCAACATCTGGCTCAACTTACCCATCTTCTTCTGAAAAGTAAATGATGTTTTGCCACAGTCAGCACCAATGCTTTTAAGGAATTTCTGTAATTGGTGATGATTCAATCCCTTGGCCCTTATGAAATTCACAGTCTTGACATGCAATCAATTGCCTGATGTTATTGATTTCTAAAACTTCTGCGCACACATTTTCTTCATGTACCACACAATGATTCTTCAACAAAGGTGAGTTTGGGCAGCAAACTCTTCTATTAGTTTTACAAGTCCCTCTCTCTCACCTACCGTCACCAGGGCACCATCAGTAACTATACCAGACATGCTGACAACAGACAAAGAAAATTTCTTTAACATGTATTTTACTGCTTCATATAAATCCCTTGATTTAGTTGGTCTTTTTTTTTTTTTTTTTTGAGACAGAGCCTCAAGCTGTCACCCTGGGTAGAGTGCTGTGACATCACAGCTCACAGCAACCTCCAGCTCCTGGGCTCAAGCGAGTCTCCTGCCTGTGCCTCCCAAGTAGCTGGGACTACAGATGCCCACCCCAATACCCGGCTATTTTTTGGTTGCAGCCGTCACTATTGTTTGGCGGGCCCGGGCTGGATTCAAACCCACCAGCTCAGGTGTATGTGGCTGGCGCCTTAGCCACTTAAGTCTCAGGCGCCGAACCTTAGTTGGTCTTTTAAAGAAACTAAAAAAGCCATTTCCTAGTGACATTATATTCATCATCAATACCGCTAATACAAATGGCAAGTGGAGCCCTATTTGTAGCATCAGTGCTGTCATCTATCACCAAGGTATAAAATTTAAAATCATCAGCTTTACTCTCCAAAATTCTTTCAATCGATTTTCCAGTGTCTTCAGTTTGGCTGGCCATAGTCCAGTGAGATAATCTGATTTTAGAAATATCGCCTTTTTGTCAGGGTGAATCATACCTGCCATACTTTCCATACATTGACTAAGAAACTCACCATCAGTAAAAAATTTTCATTTTTTTGCTAGTACATATACTAATATACTACCACATAACTAGCTTTTATAATGGAATCCATCTGTAACTTAAAAGAAAGAAATTTTTATTGAGAAGAGGATTGCCTGAGCCCAGGAGTGTGAGGTTGCTGAGAACTAGGCTGATCCCATGGGCTGGGAAACAGAATAAGATTGTTTGGGGGCGGGCAGGGGGAGACTTCTATTGAGAAAACACTTTTTTCAGTTCTGCCATTTTGTCCTCCTACACAGATCTGGCAGGTTTTTGCATATAATGCCTTTTCAAATTATAGTCTTTGAAAACTTGCACCAACCAATTCCCTACAAATTAAGCTGAGTTCCTTACTATTTGCTCTGATGAAAAAGTAGTCATCTGTCCACTTTTTACAGAACAATCTTCCTTCAATCTTAATTTTTCTTTTGGGGGCTCTGTTTTCTTTTGGGATATTGCAGTGAGGAAGGAGAAATAAAATCTTATACTTCCTGGTGGTCCTGAGAACTCCACAAGAACAGCTGCAGAAGAACCCAGGCTCCAAAGATAAGAAAGAACTTTACAAAAAAAACTAAGTAGAAATAACCTTGAAAGAGACTACGTAACAAATAACAGCACTCTGGTTTCTTGAGAAATATAATCATTAACTCTTCCATGATTTTTTGCCTGCTAGTTAAAAACTTTTCCCATGTCCTAATATCTGTAACTGTAGCTCTAAGTGTAACCGAGCTAAAATAGTATAAAATAGTTTCATAAAGATTAGGAGGGCTCAGTGTTCTACAGCTTGAGGCCACTGACTTCCATCAACAATTAAAAATCCTTAGTCTTGATGCAACAGTTTAGTCTTGATTCACCGTTTCCTGCAACAGTAGAAGCTATGCTGGGATTTTTAAAAAATAATAATAGGTAAGGCACTATATTTACTTGTGTTAGTTAAGAAAACAGAAAGTAATGTTCGGGTCCTTCCACATCTCAGCTGCTGACACAGAACGAGGTGGAGGGCAATTGTAAAGTGTGGTAGGCACCACTGAGGTGTGGAAGTGCCTTATCAAATAAGAACACCTACCTGACCAATAAATAGCATTTAATGCCTCACAAACTGCAATGGTAAGTTGAAATATTATTGATAATTACTGCCTCACCAAATCACCATGAGCATATGACATCTGATGGTGTCAATTCAACTGTTTGCGCTTGGAAAGCTGCACACCATGTAAAATTGAAGCCCTCAAACGCACCAACAGCAAAAGCAGTACCTACGTGTATTTTACATGCATACAAACAGCGACAGCAGGCTCACTGCCCATAGCTCAGTGGTTAGGGTGCCAGCCACATATACCAGGGCTGGCAGGTTCAAACCTGGCCCAGGCCTGCTAAACAACAATGACAACTACAACAAAAAAATAGCCAGGCATTGTGGTGGGTGCCTAGTGTCCCAGCTACTGGGGAGGCTGAGGCAAGAGAATCTCATAAACCGAAGAGTTTGAGGTTGCTGTGAGCTATGATTGCCATAGCATTCTATGGAGGGTAACATAGTGAGACTCTGGCCCCAAAAAAAAAAAACAGCAACAGGGTACCTATATTTTACATGCATACGAACAGTGAAAGCATACATATGCTTATTTTACCTGACACTGGGACACAATGTTGTCTACAAAATTCATGCTGATGAACCATGCGATCAAGTTCCATTAAAAAATCACCAAGAAGTTCATTACATTTTAAGTAAGTTTATGATTTTGTGTTCAGCCGAGGGTTGGACACTCCTGTTCCAGAGAGAACTACCCAGGGATGAACTCAGCAACACTATTACCTGTGTCCTGAACAGTGAACTTTAGCCTTTAGTTTCCTTTCATGTAAAACAGGTTCAATTATAATGAGAGACTCAATAAATAACTATCATGAACCTCATAACACTATCTTTTAGCATACTGCCTGCTATATTTGATCTGTCCCTAATGTAAAGACACTCAAAACTGCCACAATTCACAAGAAAAATGCTGGACCATATAGTACATCATGCTATGTTGCAAGAAGCAGGTCATCTTCCACCTTCTCCTTCTCTCCCAAACACCCTAATTTAAAACCAAACCAGAAGATCACGAATGCACAAACTCAGCTTTACCTGTGGTATATTTTAGTATGATTAATGATCACATATATCAAACCAGAGTGGGGAGACCTCACCCTAAACAGTTGTCAAATGGCTTGATTTCAGACTCTTAAGTACCCCAGCCCCATCTCACAACCCCCACCAATCCTGTTTATTTGCTGATGTTTCTAATCCCTCTAGAAACAAGTCAGCTTCTCAGAAAAGACTTAATGATGAGATTTAAAACACAAGAGAGTTTAGGGAGAAGCCATTTCCAAGGCTCCAGGGAAAGTTGTTTAAACACAACTTTCACCTCAAAAGCTCAAAAACCTCTTGTTTAAAATATAAACAGGCTCAGTGCCTGTAGCACAAGTGGCTAAGGCACCAGCCATGTACACCTGAGCTGACAGGTTCAAATCCAGCCCAGACCCACCAAACAATAACGGATGCAACGAGAAAAATAGCCGGGTATTGGGGTGGGCATCTGTAGTCCCAGCTACTTGGGAGGCACAGGCAGGAGACTCGCTTGAGCCCAGGAGCTGGAGGTTGCTGTGAGCTGTGATGTCACAGCACTCTACCCAGGGTGACAGCTTGAGGCTCTGTCTCAAAAAATAAATAAAATAAATAAAATATAAGCAAAATCAGCAGGGTACCATAGTTCAATGGTTAGGGTACCAGCCACATGCACCAAGGCTAGTGAGTTCAAACCTGGCACAAGCCAACAAAAAAAAAAAAAATAGCTGGGCGTTGTCGCCAGTGCCTATAGTCCCAGCTACTAGAGAGGCTGAGTCAAGAGAATGGCTTGAGCCCAGGAGTTTGAGGTTGCTGTTAGCTATGATGCCATAATACTCTACAGTGAGTGTCTCAATTTAAAAAAATAATGTCCTATTTAAAATATAAGCAAAATCATCTCAGGTGCAGTGGGCCTCATGTCTGTCATCCTGGCACTTTAGTAGGAGGCTGAGGCAGGAGGATCACTCGAGGCTAGGGGTTCAAGGCTGTAGTAAGCTACAATGATACCACTGTACTTCAGCCTGGGTGACTGAATAAGATACTGTCTCTAAAAATGGGGTGTGTGTGTGTAAAATCGATTAAATATCCATCCTTACTGAGAAAAATCCAGAAATTGTAGAGGAAGGGAAGAATAATGAAAGCTGACAGACACAGAGTTCACAGTACTTCATTAGAGTGTTTTAAGAAAGGTAAATATATTGATGTATCTTGCATTTACTTTATTAATTTTTAAAAGCTATTATTATCCTTAATTTACTACATGGAAAGTATCTGTGATGTGGCTAAAACTACCTGCAATCAAAGTCCTTTTTACTGTCTGATTGTGGCTAACTCCCTAACCCAGAGTCTGGCAGACTTTTCCCACAGTCCAGATGGTAAATATTTCCAACTTGGTGGGATGTACAGCATCTGCTACAACTACTTGACTCTGTTTGGGGTGGGGTTTTCTGGTTTTTTTGTTTTTTTGTCTTTTTTTTTGAAACAGAGTCTCAAGCTGTCATCCTGAATAGAGTGCCATGGTGTAACAGCTTATAGCAAACTCCAACTAGTGAGCTCAAGCAATCCACCCCCTCGGCCTCCCAGAGTGCTAGGATTACAGATGTGAGCCACTGCGCCAGGCCTCGACTCTGTTGTTATAGGGCAGAAACCATCATAAATGATACATAAATAAGTAAAACTGTGTTCCAATAAAACTTTATTTACAAAAATAAGTGCCAAATTTGCACCAAGGGCTGTAGCCTGCCAATCCCTGCTATTAATAAGGAGTTTTCAATATCATTGCTCATATCTTGGAACCAAGAGCAAAGAATAAAAACAGAAAATTAACATTCATAAGTAGATTAAATAGCTACAAACCCAAATTACTCAATCACCCTGCACAAGTAGGTAATACTTATATTACCTTACACTGTTTTCTTGTAACATAAGCACACGAACATCAGAGCAGAGCTACTGAAGCATGCACTTACTTCATCGATGAAAATGTGTGTGAATTCCATCAAACTCTTGGCACTAACTATTTTCTGAAGCAGGACTCCAGTTGTCATATAAATTAACTTAGTGTCCTCCGTTGCTATTTTCTCTAGCCCTACCTAAAATTGGGGGGGGGAAAGGAGGAAGGAGAGAGAGTTCCAGGTTACATAGCTCAACTTCACTACAAAGAAAAGATATGCCCATTTTATAATGCAGGTAAGAAATTTTAAAATTACTGTATTTTATAAGATATAGAGTCCTAATTAAAAGTGAAGCTCTCAAATTGCTTTTGTTGCTTTTGGGAGGGGGGTTATTTAATCACACTGCATAGAACCTTTTTACATTAAGACAATTGTGGGCAGGAAGCAGCACTTTGAGAGGCCAAAGGTAGGAGGATCACTGGAGGCCAAAAGTTCAGACCAGCCAGAGCAACACAGTAAGACCCCATCTCTACTAAAAATAAAAAATCAGGGGCAGCACCTGTGGCTCAGTGAGTAGGGCGCCAGCCCCATCTACCAAGGCTGCCGGTTAGAACCCAACCCTGGCCAAGCTGCAACAAAAAAATAGCCAGCCATTGTGGCAGGCGTGTGTAGTCCCAGCTATTTGAGAGGCTGAGGCAAGAGAATTGCCTAAGGCCAAGAGCTGGAGGTTGCTGTGAGCTGTGATAACACAGCACTCTACTGAGGGTGACAAAGTGAGACTCTGTCTCTAAAAAATAAATAAATAATCAGCCAAGCATGGCAGTACACGCCTTTGAGTACCAGCTACCTGGGAGGCTGAGTCAGGAGGATCAGCTGGGGCCAGGAGTTAGAGTTTGCAGTGAACTATGACAAACACCACTGCACTCCAGCCTGGGCAACAGAGCAAAATTCTATTTCTATTAAAAAAAAAAAAAGACAACAGTGTATGAAGACGTCGTCTAGACTACAAAATAAAAGGATGACATTATAAAAGCCATAACCCTGAGAATTCCCAATTAGGGAAATTAGAATTAAATTAGGCAATTAGAATCCTAATTTCTCAATTAGGAAAGAAATCACAAAAGATTTTCAAGAAATCCAGTTTTACTGTTTTTATTAATTATGCCACAGTTCTGTTCTATAAGCCAAGCAGTGAACAGTCACAAACTGACCATGAACATAAATGGAAAGTCTCACCTGATAGCCCACCAGGCCCCCCAGGGTCCACGCCCGCTCCCTGCTGATCCACCTGGCAATGCTGCTGGCCCCGATCTTGCGTGGCTGGGTAACCACAATGTTGCAGTAGGCAGAGCGCTGCATGTGATGGTCCAGGACGCACTGGGGGAGCTGCGTGCTCTTGCCACTCCCTGTGGCGCCATGAATAATCACCACAGAGTTGCTCTCTATCAGGGAAATCACCTACAGTTTTAGAGAAATTCTCTTTCAAAATTGGCACAGAATTTCAATGTAAAGTACTTTCTATCATGGGAAGACTTTCAGGATTTATTCTGCTTTCATCTTTAAGTTCATTTGTTAACGAACCATCTAAACATCAGGAGAGGGAGAGGGCTACAAATGGGGCCCCATCTACCACCGGCTGACTCCTCCACCCCTGCAACCCTGCAGGCCAAATTACCTTCAGCTCTCCAGGGCTCAATTTCTTCTATAAAATGAAAACACTAAACTAAGTTTCCATGGCTCTTACTACGTCTAAGTTTCTATTATTTTAAAATTCTGTAATGAACTTGGATGTAATTCTACTGAAAACCACGAAAACAGCTGTTACTACACTCGAGTGGTAACATTTTCAAACAATTAACTTCCACTGTCTACTTACAGATAATATGAAGCCTTTTTTTTATTTTAGATTAGTGTAAGAGTATAATTAGGTTACAAGGTTTGCATTTGTTAGGTAAAGTCCCTGCTGTAGTTGTGTCATGAACCCATGCCATCTAGCCTTACATTGTACCCATCAGGTGGAAGCACACTACATAGGAGATGCTTTTTTTTTTGTCTCCATGGGTAGAGTGCCGTAGTGACACAGCTCACAGCAACCTCAAACTCCTGGGCTCAAGCAATTCTTTTGCCTCAGCCTCCCAAGTAGCTGGGACTACAGGTACCTGCCAAAATGCCCAGCTATTTTTTTTTTTTTGAGACAGAGCCTTAAGCTGTCACCCTGGGTAGAGTGCTGTGGCATCACAGCTCACAGCACCCTCCAACTCTTGGGCTCAAGT